TTTTATGGTTCAACTTGTTTTTAGCCTCCTTTATGAATGAAAAATCATTGTATCCATGGTTACGAATTACAAAATAAGTCCATATCAAAGCAAATAAAGTAATAATTAACCCATCCGTTGTGAATATAATCCATTTGGCAAATAAAATTTATAAAAAGTAAGAAACCAAGTGAAAAAAAAATATTCGTTGAATAATCTAAACAAATACAACTCGTGTAATTTATCGAAAATTTCTTCGTTTGTATTTCGATAATCTTTAATACACTTGTATTGTGGATAATTGTTTAACACAAAAAAGATGTCTGATGACCTAAATCTAAATTTTAATAAAAAAATAATGTTTTTTTAATGATTTACGATAAAACACTATGTTACTCTGTTCGATTTGTTTAGAATATTGGTGTTTTAACTTCTTAAATTATTGATAAATTTCCGGTCATTTGGAAAAATAACTGTGTCGTGGTTTGTTTGAGTTTCAAAGGATTAAAACAGAAGCAACGCCATGTAAACTTTCCAAAAATTAACCATTCATTTTACAAATTATTTTTTGACTTTTTCTTGTCGCAATTCTTTCATTCAAGTCACCTCCGAAACCCCCTTTGATCCGCCTATGTTTCGTCATTGCCGGACGAGATAGCCTGCTAGACGAAAACTCTAGAATCTGCCGGAAACGTTGCCGATTTTAGTCTAGTCTAGAACGCACGGTATCTTCGAGAACAGGTCTGGCGCGCCACATTTTATAATAAATAGCCCAGTTTTGCCGTTTACATTCAGCTATAAATCGATTTGATAATATTGTTATTATAAATTATGAGTATGTAAACGATACAATACTGTCTTCACAAGAAAGCATTAACTTAATAACCTTATAAATAAGAATAAAATAAAACTAAATTTAAGGCCCCTTCTTGTTTTATAAATTTTTTGCCATTTCGAATAAGTAATTTGAGCTTAGTTAAATGTTACTGCTAATACCTAGATACTTGCTTTAGTTTTCGGGTCGATAAATATCAGGTATAATTATTTTCCTTGGTTTAATCTTATATTTAAAGCCTTTTTTAATACACTTATGTGTAATTTAAACATGTTTGACTTGACATCCACTAGCAAATTGTTTAAAAAATGATAAAAACAGTGTACTATTTGTTAAACGAAAAGAAACTTTTCTATTCTAAGCCTCGCCTATGTTATTACAACAGAAGTTATGCCTAGACCAGAAGTATGCATCGAAAACTGAAACAGGTCATATTTACGATTGCGTGCGACTGACTAACTTGTTGAACTTCTTTGAGAATTGGCACGAGAATGTAATTCAGCCAAGAAAACGAGAGAATATATTGTGATCAATTTCACATAGTGGTCGTTCTGTCTTTCTCATGCGCAAATTGCCATGTTTCATCGATCAGATAAACGAATAACAATAAAAATAACACGATGAATAATATTCATTCGCGATTATTTAGATGGGAATATTTTGTAAATCATAAGTTATATTATTAAACAAGATTATTTAAGTGTCGTATCTAGTAGATGTTCATTTTTATGCCGTTTGGGTCAATATTGTTGGATACTGGAATTAAAAAAAAATAATATTGTAGAATACTCAAAATTTGAAATCAGTATTAGATTACTTTTGTAATTGTAGTAGCCGAGGGTGTGTACATTTAGGCTGGGCCGAAATAGGCATATTTTAAAAAATGTAGATCCACATTTTCAGCCCTCTTTTGCTCCCTTTAGGGATGAAAAGTTAAAGTTTAAAATGTTGACATACAATACCTACTGAAAGTTACATTTTAGTTTGTATTCACACTCTTTATGTTTAATATTTTTAAATAAAATCTTCAGCACTGTACTACCCCTTTTAACCAATGTTTAATCCATTTTTTCTTTAAAAGATAAGGTAAAAATTACTTGAACAACCAATAAATAATACACGACAAAAACTAAACAACACATTTTTTAAAAAAAAAGATAAAAAGTACCTAAAGAAATCAAACTTAAAAACCTTATTATAGTTATATATTGTCTTTATCTAACACCGTCTCATCTCACATTGGCCAGTGCCTTGGCCAACACGCTGACAAATATACTGGGAAACAAATTCTCTTTAGTGCTCATAGTAGCCCATTTTTCACGAACTCTTGCCGTAATTCATGACATTTTAAAAAATTGTCTATCATAATCAGACCTTTAAAAATATTTTTTTTACACAAAACATATTTATTTGTATTGGATAAAATGTAATGTTTGCTGTTATGGGCCAAACGGCATCTTAGAATCACGTTTCGCCATACGTTTCTTAGAATGATTCGAAGATCGAGATTTTTTATGTTTGCGAAAGTGCGTTTTGCAATTTAAAATGTGATAAATTGCCTTGTTTAGTAATATCTACTAGACCGCCTAGAAAAGTTGTTAGTCACGCCATAAAAAGATCATTTAAAAAAAAGAAGACAGGTGAGATCGCGAAATGAAATTTTCCTCGTGCAAGTATGTAATTTATTTGTTTTGAGAAAAACTAATTTAATATATATACAAGCGAATGTTCCTAATTTTTTATTTGTTGTAAACAGTATTATAAATTATTTTTTAAGTACAAATGACACGTAATACTATTTAATCCTTTTTGTAAACAAAACCTAAAGGAATTAAATATTTATTTTGTTATTTTTTAAATTATAAAGGAATTAATTCAAATTCCTACGAATTTCTGATAAAAAAATCAAATTTGTAATCTCTATAATCCTTAAATATCCTTAATTAAATAGAAGATGTAGAAGATGAAATGTTCTATTAAAACACACATTGTTAGATATCTAAATTTTTATAATTACGGGAACATTAAACTTTAATAATAAAAAATAATAAAAACTTTTAGAAAAAATAATAATAATAATAATTCCAAACAGAAGTTAAATGTTTCTTTACTTTAGTGAAATAATAACAAAAAATTAAAAAAAAAATATATTATTTTATTTCCTTTAAGGAGGTCCTTTCGCCACCAATGTTAAATAAAAAATATTAGATTGTGACTAAAATTTATTTTTTTTCTAATAGTTGAAGTCCTTATTTATCTAATGTTGAACTTTTAACTATACCTTACCTTGCAAATTTTTGAGAATTTTTTTTAAATTCTCGAATTATATTATTATTTATTGATTAGATGGAGTAGAAAAAAACTAAAAATAGGGTTTTTGAAATATTTAGGTTTTGTTTTTTACAATAAAATATATAGGTTACCTTGGAATTTATTGAGAAATTAATATTAAAAAAAAATTAGAAGTAACCTAGTTGAAAATTTTTTGTGATTTTTTAATATTAATTTCTCAATAAATTCCACGGTAACCTATATATTTTATTGAAAAAAACAAAACCTAAATATTTCAAAAACCTTATTTTTAGTTTTTTCTACTCCATCTAATCAATAAATAATAGTAAAATTAATTATATTTCGAAAATTGTTGTTGAAGTCTTACTTTCTCGTAAGACACTGTACAAACACACACATTTTTAAAAAAAATTTTTCTCAAAAATTTGCACGGTAAGGTATAGTTAAAAGTTCACTATTAGATAAATAAGGACTTCTACTATTAGAAAAAAATTAATTTTAGTCATAATCTAATATTTTTTATTTAACATTGGGTGGCGAAAGGACCTCCTTAAACATCCTATGTTTTTAAGCTATTCAAATTTTATGACAAAATTAATAGTTTTCAGTAAAGTAAAATGTGTTTTTTAAATTATGAACGTATATAAAATTTCATATTCAATTCTTAGTACATTAATTCCAATATTGATAACCGACACAAAAACGTAAATGTCGCTGTATTATAGGAGCAGCTATTAAACCGCCAGAGCTTGCAATTACCACAAAATTATAGGCAACACACATTACATGGTAAGAGAGGTGTTGATTACCTATCCCGAATTTATCTCCATTAAATGACAGGACTAGTTTTTTTTTGCATAGGCACATTGCCATTCAGCCAGACACAGGACTAGTTTTAAATGTCATCAAATATATTACACTAATTTCAAATTTAGTAGTGTTTATATTTTAGTATATTTGGTTTGTAGTTATTTTTTGTAGTTTTTTAGGATCATTTAATTTTTCAATTTAATAAATTTCATTCAGTTTTAGTTAAATCTTCATTTTAGTATTCCCAACGAAAATTTTTTCCTAACAGTTTAATTATATTATACTTAATTTAGTTTGTGTTGATTTATAATTTTGTATTTTGCTTGAAAGAGCATTTAATTTTTGCAATTTAATTTTAATTATAAATCTACTTTAAGTTTTAAATTTATACTATTATATACAACAAAAAATATTATAATCTCCTTTGTTCTTAGTGAAGTTAAAAATGCTAATATGTAATATGTTTGTCTTCGTGCTTATTATAAATACCTACCTACTCTTTTATACCTGTTACAATAGCATATTTATAATTAACAGTTTTATACAACGATTTATATAAACATGAATGTTCAATTTAATGCATTATAAAAAAAAATAATCCAAATTTACTCAAGCACTGATAAAATATAGGTATATCAATGATTCAATTAATTTTTGACAGTTTTCCAAAACGTTATTTTAAAACTCAATATAGAAGCACTCATAAACAATATATTGGTATATATAGATGTGCGCGTAGACATATCCACTAATGTCTGTTGTTGCTTGAGAGGCTTATTAATTTCTACCAAAAAATTACTGGTCTAACTATTTGGAAATCAATAATTGTTCGTTTTTCTAATACTGGAATTACTCTAGCGTTTAAATCTTCTGCAATATTACAGTCTAATATAATATTAAATTCTATAGGATCGCTCTAAAATTTCTCATACCAAAATTCGCTTCTAGTAATGTGAATAAAACGTTTCGACACATTGTCGACAACCATCAGTCTCGTGATACAATAGTGATATCGACAAACTTCAAAAATATGGTCCAGTGACTTAAAATTCGCGAGTGGCTTGTTACCAAAGACTCCTTCAAGATGATGATGTTCGAAGTGGGCAGCATCGGCGGCACGAAAATGGACGCGGCCGCCGCGCTGCGACAGGCGCCGCACATGCGCCAACATTACAGCGTTAAAAATCAAATGATGCGGTTTCTGAGACGGTCGAAATCCGCCGCGAATCCGCCTACGGAGAAAATGACGCCTAAGCATTCGCATAATAATGGACATCATTATAGGCATAATCATGTAGTGCATCCTCAGGCTAGGGTGGTGAACCAGGTGGAGGGGTTGCCCTTCGTTGTGGGTAATAAGACCAAGAAGGTAAGAATATTTTATGAAAGTACTGTATTAATATCATCTCATATAGCAAGTTAAAACAAACCTAGGCCAAAATAATTTGTGAACGGTAAAGTACCTGATAGTATTGTCAAAGCTTTAATGCTTTAATCGCACACCTAAACTCAGATAGTTGACTCTAAATAATGTAAAAATTATACATAAAATGAAAATAATAAATAAAAAAAATTAACTGTTTTACCTAACCTGTGCGGGCTGGAGCCATCGATGGTTGCTTTGCAAAAAAATATACATGAAAATAGAAAAAATAATAAAATAATTTAAATAATTTACCTAACCTGTGCAGAATGAAGCCATTTCATTTTTTGTAAACCAACTTTTACAAAGATTATTAAATATGCATCCATTATACCTTGGGCCAAATCAGAATGACCGTATGACCATCTTTAAGATTAAAGACGGTTATGGTTAGAGTCTATCACTGATGACGATCTGAGTTTGTGTTGGATTAAAAAATTACCTGTGGGACCGTCTAAGAAAAGCTTAATCTGAATTTCTAGTGTTTAGATAAATATCAACCGTTAATTTTATTTAACATAAGATACATTTTAGTTTGATAAAAGTTTTTAGATTATGTTTAGTTGTCAGTTCAAAAGATAAACAAAAAAACGAAGAAATAGTTTAATATGTATAAAACTCAGTGACTGGTTAGGATAGCGAGCTCTTATTGGTTGAAATAACAAAAGTTAGCTATTTTAATAGAAAAAAAAAAAAAATAATCACCAACAAATAGGCGTTTTCGGAATCCAACTATAGATAACAAATCCAGATTACTGGGTTACCCAATGGACCACACGTTCACTGAACTTAGTGTCGACAGTTTACAACGAGTTGGATTATTATTCCTGTTTATCTACGTTTGTCAGTCTTTGACTTTTTCCGCGTAATTGTCAATATTATAAACCCTTATTTGTTGAAGAACCATTTTAATTAAACATGTTGACTAATAAAATCTCAATATGGGCATAAAAATTACAAGTTATAATTAATTAAATGTAGAAAAAAACTTCAAAGCTAGTACTGGCAGACACCACAAAATTGCATTATCCCTTTATAAAATCCTGCGGTGCGCATGCGGATCTATTACTTATCTACTCGCAGAGTATTGATCTCGATCACAAAACTGGATCAGTAATAGTTTCCGAACACGGATAGGGTTAGTAACCCTAGGTAAACGAACAATAGGATCCATAATCTTTAGGATCCGATTAAGTTTCCGAAAACGCTTAATGTTTTTCATATAAAGTTGATTGCTCCAATAAATAATCATTAGTATCTATAAAAGCCATATTAATATTTGAGCGAGATGAGTTATTTGAGCTAAAAATATATCTTTCTTCTCGGTCGTAATTTTGTCTGTTTTTTAGATTTCCTAATTCTAAGAATCTTGAATAGTTTCTTGAAACCCCTTGTGGAAAACCCACTGTACAGACAACAGCTCTTTAGGGCATACCCTGTTCTATTAAAGCATTTATTCTTCCCCTCTGCACATCTGAGAAACTCACAAAAAGCATTTTTAATTTTGTTGTTTTAAATATTACAATAAACATCTGCCAAGTTGCTCCTAAAATCATAAAATAAACACTACGGCAAAAAAATAGTATTATCTTTTCACGAACCATAAAAAACAACATTCTTTTATTTTTTATGAAAAAATGTTTTTGTGAAATACTGAGTGATGCCATGGGTGTATACACGATATTTATGGAATGAACCTCGTAGATCGTATCGATATCTTATTAATGCTTCATCGGTTACGGGTTAACCGCCATAAATTGACTCTGAAAGTCACTATATAACGTTTGTAGTGCCAATTAGTCACTCTCGATCGTAATTGTTCCACGCTAATAATTAATCCAGTAATTGAGCGAAGGGTTGACCAATCAATACGTTGTCAATATTGTTTTTGTCGAGTTACACACTGAGAAAATGATTGTGTCCATTTTATTTGCTAGTAACATATTTTTTTTTGTAAAAACCATTTTTTTAAAAATGTTTTTCCTAAATCTACACAATTTATCTTGTACTTTTTCTTATGGAATATATTTATTTATTTATTTATTTATTTAATGATTGTTATACAAATTATTTTGGCAAGGAAGATATTAAACTACTCCATAATTTGAATAGAGATGAAATTCTTTCAAAAAATATATTGCCTTATAATTAAATTGGAACGTGGAGAGTTTTCCATCATGTTTTTAATATCCAATTCGCAGCGTGTTTTTTGTTCATTATGATTCATAATTATTTTTAAAAATCCTTGTTCATAAAACTAGGAAATCATTGTTCAAAAATTCAAATGGCACTTCCTGTTCATAATCGGTTTAACGTCAGTAATGTAAAAGCTCGAAAAACCCCTTTGTAAGCTTCATTAGACAGGTTCGGCTTTAGCCTAAAATGTTTTATTTAGTTATAATGGGAAGATTGTTTTATGGCGAATAATAATAGCTCTTATTTACCGGTAAAAATTATTAATTAAGTTTACTGATCCCCAAATAATTGTAATTAAGAATCCTATTTTGCAGAATACTGCACATGTAGCTTTAAGGTAATATTTTTGAGAGATATTTAAAATTAGTACCTTGTAAAATGCAACAACAATTGTAATATTTATCCATAATTTGCATCCATGTGTGATAAACATAGAACATTGTATGACTTTTTATTTCGCACTAGTTCAAGTTGAACATGATAACCAATCTTTTGTAAGGAACAATACATTTAGGGCGAAATTATGGGAAAGTCTTTCTAAGAGTATCGTATATAAATGTTTAACCCATTTGACCCTAAAACTATTTTTTTCCGATTTTGTATAATTTTTTTCTCAAAAACGGTTAATAGAAGGTCCCATAAGTCGAGAAAAAATAAAAAAAAAAATTTCGATTTCCATTTTTGGAAAAAAACAGCGGTCCTTTTAAAAGGACGGTAGGATAAAGGGCTACTATTAGAAAAATAAATAAAGATTTAAAAATATTTTTATATATCTTACAAAATGCTTAGCAAAATACTTAAAACTCAAACTTAAAAATTAATTAGTATGATAGGCCACAAAACAGTTTTTTGGATGAAGACCAACGTCACATTTTTGGCACACAAAATTTGCTTTTTTGTGGCACACAGCACATTTTCGCTGACTCTCGTGATATGTAACTAAATGATCTAGTTTATCGTAACGTGAGAATTGGTGTGCGGTTTTTGGCAATTTCGAAGGTCCGTTCTTAGTTGTTTTCCTGTACGTTTCGAGCAGCTGAGTCCCTAGTTCCCTCCTAAACTGAAGTTGGTCTAGCGTACCACCATCATTCCTATGGAGGTGCTACGAGTTTTGTAAGGCCATGTCGACACAGTGGGAAAATAACGGAAAATGCCACTTTTTACCTCGTATTGGCTTATGTTTTGGTCACTACGGTCTACACCTCCCATAGTTTCGTTGTACGCCTTGATCAATTGTGATTGATCTATATAAACATGCTTTTTTTCAGCCTGTGAAAATCGTTTGACCTTATTTACTGGCAAAACTGAACATGCATTGGTGGCTAAAGTAACAACGCTGTTGTCATTCCATTTGCATAAAGCTATTTCATTATCGGCAACACCCCATTCAAATGTACCTCGTGCCTTTTTCTTCAGAACTTTAGCATTGCTAAATGGAGATTGAGATATCCGGTTTTCACGTATAGTACCAGTTGCCTTGATGTTCCTCAATTTTAGCTCCTTTAGAAGTGACAAAGATGTTAAAAAATAAGTAAAAGGGCTGGTAAGGCATTTTCTGTAAAACATCTGCATATTGGAGAACAACTGACGCTCCCAAACCGGAATTGTTGTCGACGCACCTTGACAGGGATCAAAATAAACAATGTATCCAAGGCGTAGGATACCTACCCAAAATTTATACCCCACCTTATAGGCTTGCCTCTAATAAATTGCTTACCGCTATGTCTCTCAAAATACGTTATCATAGCCTCATCAGAGCTGTGATTCTCTTCAACTTGGGCGTAATCAAAAAACTTTTTATTTAGGCTGTTGAAAAGAGGACGCAATTTAGAGTACTTGTCATTTTTATCAAGGGAAGTATTATCATTGCAATGAAGATTACTCATTATGAATTGAAATCTATCTCTGGAAATAGCGGCTGATATAAGTTTATTCTGGGTATCGTTGCAATTTTGCCAATACATATGTCGCCTTGGAACAGTTGTATATCCACTGACAAGTAACAGCCCTATGAAGCAATACATCTCGTCTACAGTAACGTTACCGGGGCGGTTTTTTTGTTGTGCATAAATATTGGTAAAATTGACAATTTTTCCTACCAAGTTTTCATCAAAAAACAGCTTGAAAATATTTCCAGGGGAACGATTGCTTTGTACAGTTTGAACTGGTTGCCATTGCATAAACGTAGAATCTAAATCTTCACTGAGAGTATAGTCAAACGTCTTTATGTGTTTAGGTCGCCTTTCAACAAAAGTGGACAGTGGTAGATCCTCATCATTGTCCCCGTCGTCATCACCTTCCACGTCAAATTCGATTTCCGCCGGGGCCCTTAGTTGCACTCCGGGTAAATTATTTGGATCTACATCGTCTTCAGCCCCAGAATCTTCATCGGTATCGCAGTTTTCGTTGGCATTTTCGGGTGGAAAAATTGTAATTCCTGTAGGAATGTCTGGTGTAGAGTCATTCTCCAATTCTTCTGAGTTGTGCCATGGTTAGTGGCTTTTTCCAATGCCTGCAAAAAAACGCATATAGTAGCATATAATCCTACCGTCCTTTTAAAAGGACTCGTTAAATTGAACGCCCCTGGAATGATCGAGAAGTGTGAAACAACCACAAATATAAAAAAAGGTAAGTATATTATGTTATTTATTAAAAATAATCAAAACAGCAACGAAAAAATAAACGAGGTTTAACATATCTTACCTTGAGTCACTCATTGCAAAATCACTAACAACACAGTGTTTTTTAACCGTCACTATCGATCCAAAACTTAACAAAACCCTAACGATGGCGATTGATCTTGTTTAAGATGTCAACTAAACATAACGTGACCTGGCGACATCTTCAAACCGTCAGCTGAATCAGAAAAATATAGTTTTCTTTTTGAAGTCCTTTTAAAAGGACGGTAGGCGTTAAATGGGTTAAGAAAAGGAAAATACTTACTGCTTGAAATATACTGGGTCTTCAACAATACCGAAAACCCACGTGACCATATCGTCATGACAGCGATTGGTGAAAATAAAAGTAAAAATCCCTAAATTTGAGCCAGTGCCGTAGGTATTTTATTACAAAACAGATCTTCTTTTTTTATGGTCTGCAACTACGAGAACAAAATTCAGTTAGGTAACTGTTAGAATTACAACACAAAATCATAATATTAATTAGAGGTGCTTTACATTATTGTATTTTAATGTTAGAATTCGATATTTTAATTAGATTTAATCAAATTCAATAATCTAATTTTTAAAATTATGATATAAATAACATAACCTTAAAAACTGAGCTCTAGTTTGTATTTAACGAAAAGAATAATAAACTGAAATATGGTTCGTACTAGTTATTGTCACTACTACAAAAAAAAAACCTTTACCAGAACAAGGCACAAAAAAGTTATGGATAAAAATGTTATGCATTAAAATATGAATAAAATTAAAAATTATTTACTTTAGATTGACTCTTTAAGGGCCGATTCCACCGAGATTAAAATGACATTTTTAATGTAAAAATGTCATTTTAAACTTTGTTTAACACAACGGTGGAATCGGTCCTAAGATAATTTAGCTACAGCTGAAACTCTAAATACGATAGGCAGAAGACAATGGCAGTATTTGGCAATTATTGCAGTTTAAGTAAACAAATTTAAAACTTACTGGAATTGAACCTGGACAATGGGAAGTAATAAACACATAATTTAAGTTTGTTCTATTATTTATTTGTTACAGGGTTTAAACCATTTACAAAAAACATTGTTATTTATATGCATACAAAAAATATTAATATTAATAATGTAACAAGCACATATTTGTTTTACTTTAAAGCTCTTACTTCTCACTTTAAATTATAAAGGCATATCTATAAACAACTATTTTATTTAAAAGGTTATTGAGTAGTAATCGGTGGTGCACAAACGATACTAATTCACAGTACCTATCTGTTCAAAATCTTTACCACCAGCTTTAATGCAAGCATTAAACGTTCTTTTTTGAACACATTATGCAGTTTCTCTTCAGTTATATTTTGTATATCATTCAATATAGGTGCTCCAATTCATAAAAGTCACAAACGATTTTGAATTGAGGGATCTGTAATATTCCATATGTAGGTTTAACAAAATTAAGGTAAAATGATTGTTGCAGTATCGAAACTTTATAGGGGATGCATTATCAGATTTTTTTTTAACTTTATTGGCTAGTTCGTAGTGATAAACATAAAAAAAAATATGTTTTGAATTTCACTCGCCAGAGCCAGTCTTTAAAACACCGTTCATACCTGTTTGAGGTGCTGTTTTTTTTACTAATTTATTGGGAATTAACACCATGTTAATTTGCACATCTTCAACAGCTTTTGTTATTACTTTGGGCATTTTAGACCTTTTTCCTTTTTTTAAACAAGTATTTGTTTATGACGACAAAAAAGAATCACATTCCATTTATTCACCTGGAAAACGTTCCTCAAATTTTCGAATACAATTACGAATATAAAATAATTTTGTTCCAGTATAACATTACCTAAAATAAATTATATAGTCATTAACTTTTACGAGTTACAGTAAATAAATTTGTACTTACCAACAAAAAAGAATTAAGCCACCAATATTCTCTAAAAATAACTAATTGCTTTATTAATATTAAATGAAAAATGGACTAAGGGTGTTTATAAAATGTAAACAAATATAATATAAATATTGTCAGTCCCCAAATGAACGCCAGTGACAGGATTGACAGTTCAGTTTAGTTCCTTTTACGTCAAATCAGGCCCTTTCGATGGGTTTTTGATGGTTATCAGATCACGTGGGTTTCGGGTATTGTTGAAGACCTGGTATTTACTAAGATGGTAAAAAATTATATCAGAAGCACTACAAAAACAATCTCGTGTGCTGATTATATGACGCCAAATTGAATGACATCTGAGATTGTCTGCCAGCCGGTGTTAAATTTTGATTTTCTACCGATAGATGACGCCGGAATGCAAATTTTCATAAAATAGCTACGAGGTTCAATTTAAAATTTGAGATGCTATTATTGTATCACCATGGACTGCCATTTTAACAGTATCATCGGCTTATTATCAATAATAGGTATGCCTGCTGTGTACAACAGATATAAGATGGCTCAAGAATACTGCCGTGCGGTACACTTGACTGGATGGGAAATAAGGTGCAATCCTGTATTTTTTACAATTAAATAACCGTTCTAGAATCTTCAGTGTATTGAATGATTATCCTTTTATTGAATACTATTTTTTAAAAGCCGGTCCTGAATTCATCGAAACTTTTTCAGATTTTCGAGAATTGCCTCGTCGCCGTTTGATAATTCGAAAACGTTTCCAATTTCCGTCGCCA